TCAATGCTGCAAACTGCTCCATGACCCTACATTTAGAAAATCTGCACCCAAAGACAATTCTTGACCAGAATTACACAACTGATTTTAAAAGGTTTTTTTATTTTTTTTTAATATTATCCTTTTTTACTAAAAATAAATATGGCAAGAATATCTTAAATTCCAATAAAACTACTTAAAAACCACATCATAATTTTATTCCCTTAAAATTGTATCAACCTGGAGGTATCAACGTAAATCGACAATTCCAGCATTCTTTTATCAATAGACCGCTTCTCACAGATTGGGAACCGCTGGGTTATGTTATTGATTACGTGATGTAAATTTCAACAAAAGAAAAGCGTGGGACGTGAGTGTAATGTTTTATATATGACTTCATATTCCAGATTTAGAAACAAAACAACAGTAAGGACCCAGACTTTCATCATCGGATGTCTAAGCAATTTACACATAATACAGTCGTATGACAAATCAATTAACAGAACAGTGTCGGAGACGTATCGACAGCGAACATTAGAAATGCAAATCATTGAATTGAAAATGATAATGAAGTAGACTCGTTCTAAAAACAGGACAGTGAAATCAAAGCCAGAGAGGTAATGGGGTTGAAACATAATGCTAATGAGGCGTAGACAACAGTGTCGACTCCACTAGATATAAAGGAGATAAAACAATACTGGGCATAGAATGGGAAAAATGCTAGTTTTTAGAAGAAGCCCTATGATCAAAGGGAACGATGACGATAATTATGATAATGATGGCAATAATGATAATCAAGACGGCGGTGACTGTTTTAACAATAGGCGTGGTCGGATCGTTAGATGTCACGGTTCATCTCTTCCCGTTCGTGCTCAAGACATGGAGCAGATGAAGTAGAGTTCATTCGCTTCAGATACCTCAGCACATGAAGAGATAGTGTGGTCAGCAATATGCCCAGCCGCCTGTTTTCCTAATGTAGGTTAGGTACCCATCAGAGCTGGGTAGACTCAGGGACATTCTACTGACTATCAGGTTAGTAGTCCAGTTCTCTACCACTAGGCCACACCTTCCAATACATTTCCTGGTTACTAAACCGAAAACTCCCGAATTCAAAGCCCCATGCAAATGAGGTTCATAAGCAGGGAACTGCGACCCATCTAGGAGGAACAACGCCATGGCCAAGCAACTGCTGCCTTTTAGTTTGTTGTAAATACCCACCAACATTACAATTAACAACGAAGAAGTTCTAACGGCCTAGTATTTCTTTTAATATATATATATATATATATATATATATATATATATATATATATATATATATATATATAATTTGATTTTTATAATTATATTTTCAGGGCTTGTTGTATGAAGTATTTGGTCTAGAAAGTTTTGTCTCATGTATTTAGTCTGTAAAATATTGTTTAAGCTACTGAGTATTGCGACATACAGCCCTTATTCTTATAGAATCTATACTAAAGATACACCATTGCCCCCCCCCCCCCGCCCACGTCCCCTTTGTCCTTTGTTTACTATTGATCAACCATAACGTCTCATATTTTAAAAATTCAAAGGAAAAATCGAAGCGGTATAAATTAGCGTTATATATAGTCAGGTACACATGTACGAACATAGATGCATTATAGAGAGCAAAGGGCTTCATATTTTTTTAAAACAATATTAAATTTCTCTGTAACTCCCCCCGCCTCTCCCTCTGTGTCCATATACGAACCCGGAGCGTGTCCATAACCACCACCACGACTACCCCCCCCCCCCCACCCCGCCCAAGGTCCAGTCGAAAAAAAAAACAACAAAAATATTTTAACTAGTGTTTATCGAACCCCTTTACTTGAAATTTTAAGTTCTTCCATTACAGTAGCTATCGTCATTGTAGGGTTTCTTCCTATACATATCTTCTGGGGGAGGGGGGTGGGTGGGGGCTGAGCCCCACCTAAATACGTGTCTCCCCCCCCCTTCCGCTTTCGAAGTGGAATTTTTATTAAAAAAAAACTTTATACTTTTACCAATGTCCACCCCCCTTCCCCCCCCCCCCCCCCCCCCGGAAAAATTAGTCTCCCTCTCCTCCGAAAATATTAAGTGTCCCCCACTCCAGGTGAAACAAGTCTGAAAGAAACACTGACTGTGTCAAGTGTCTCATAAACCTTTATATATATATATATATATATATATATATATATATATATATATATATATATATATATATATATATATATATATATATATATAATTTTGTTTGTAGCTCGGCCACTGAAATCACAACCTTTATCGGGTCCTGAAGATTAATTGGCATTTGAACTGAGATAATTTGAGACTATGGATAATTCAAATGGATCCATGTTTTTGGCAAGTCGATAGGAAATTGGTAGAAATCAATTCATTGTCAGCGGCAGTTCCGTTGCAGGACTGAATTTTGGACGTAACTTAGTCCACTCAGTTCTATTATGCACACGTCAAACTTAATTCAATGAATTCAAGTAATTCAAGTATTTCAGGTAGTTCAGTTGGCCAAAGAAAAAACCACACTGCAGCTATTCTCCTATATCTGATAAACACAAGCTATCTTAGTACTCTCTAGACCTGAGGGGTTGCTTATTCTTGATATTTGGATGTATTTTCCGTTCTTTCAAACTTCATAAACGCGCGTCTAAATGTTAATATATACACATTTATAGAACACTTCATTTATTATAAATACAATATGGTAATTTCAAATACCTTTTTACAAAAATCGGTGTTGTATTCAACACATCTTAAACCTGTTTCAACTGAGCTCTTATTGTTTTACCAAGTGAATTATCGCTAAAACATTGTGCTAAATATTCTACATATTTCATTGTTCAAATTATACTGAAAATCTCTAGACACAAGCGGGTATAGCCTAGCCATGATGTCGTTCATTTATAAATTATTCATGTGGTTGTATAATGATTAGGATAAACCAATCAGTTTGGTTCTCAGAAATCAATGTTATCCTAGAAATACTCGGCATTGATTCACAGGATATTGTTAGTCATCTGATTGTCAGATTATCGATGGCTATGTGATATTATATATCGGCAAATATAGTGTTGTAAAGTTCAAATTCACACTAAAACTACACAATTTAACACACTGATTTGCTTGTAAATTAACCTTAAGTAAAATATAAGTTTTAAAACTGAATTTAGTTTATCTTTTTAAAAATCGATGTCCAAAAAAGGTGTCACAATCCTAAATTGGGGGGGGGGGGGAGGGTGGAATTGGACTAGATGTTGTTGCGAGACACGTAATTGTTTCCCTTGATTAGCATAGAAATTGATTTAATACGTAGCCTATTGTTCGCTGTGTTTTAAAGTATTATAGAAATAAATCGAATTAAAAAAACACACAAATAAAACAAACACATTTGAAGTGAGGCTTTAGACTGATGTGTGACGTCATTTAAAAAAAAATATGGTGTCTGATTTTTGTGTCAATTTTTTGACGATTTGAAGTGGTTGGGGGGATTAAGTGCCTAGTTAAAACGTGTGACGTCGCTGATAGTTGACCCCAATGATGGTTACATACACAAGTAAAAACGAGAAATTTTAAAATATGAAATGCATTGGTTTTGTAATACTTATTTCACGTTTTGTATTTAAGAAAGCATTGCTAATCCTTTTTTAAATAAAATAAATCATTTTTAAGAAGTGTCTGGTGATCTGCTGTTTTTCCTAAACATATAGTAATTACTCAGTATTTGCAATCGATTGGTATTATGTAATGTGGGCATACATTTTTTTTTAAAGAAACGAAGTTTTAAATTTATTATTATGACAAGTGCTTAAATTTAGAAGAGTTTTGATACCCATACAGACCTACCTCTTTATAACCAGTTGAAATAAAATAACGTTCATTGTTTTGATTAAAGATAAATCTTTTGTTTCAATTTATGTTAAGTGTTTATAAAAAAAAAGGAAACACATTTTTTATTTATTACTTAATAATTGTAATTAACTAATTTAGAAAAAACGTTGCACATGGGTAGATTAACTTTTTAAGTAAGAAATAGCATCAAGATGTGAAGATAAAACTAATTAAAACTAGCATTAAATTACATGAAATTACATGTAATAAGTAATCAGAAAAAAACAGTGTTACACTTTATTATTTATATAATATATGGTAAATAAGTAAATTACACAATTCTTAAAGAGAAGCTATGCTCAGCTCCATTTTACTTGACTATAAATAGTCAGTTCTAACACCCTTCATGTTCCCTTAGAGCCTTGGGAACTTTCGGGTAAGCAGTCGTTTGCTCTATTGTTCCATATAAGATCTATATATAAATCAATAAAATATGTCTACGTTTATGGTACACTGTATTTGAAGCAGGTCAGGACTTTTGTGTCGGTCACGTTTAAATCGAATCGGCTTTATGTCTTGTCAAAGACGAAGAAATCAAGTTGATTAATTGCATGGATATATGAAATTTGAAGAATTTAAGAAATACTACGAAAAAATGAAGATAACTTGTCACAATTAAAAGTTAAAGTAAACTGATTCTCAACAGCCATTAATACTGCATTTAAAAGAGGACGAAAACGTGCAGGCATTGTAAAGAATAAAAATGTGTATTAAGAGATGTGTGTTTAGACTTACGTTAAGGCCTGCAGAAGTCTTCTTAGGTTAGCATTTTACATTCGACTTATAATCTCAATTGAGTAAAACAAGAATTCAGTCACTTATTGCATTTATTGGATTTTCATTTGCATCTGTCTTTTGTGTTGATATTTCGTTTTTAGAAACATTCCATTTTCATTTATGATTTCACTAAAGTAATAAATGATTACATCGTATATTTTAAATAATAAAAAATAAAGTAAAATACAAGAATTCTTCAGACACTCAACCTACAAATTCAACCTATCCAGGCTCTGAATGTTAATGAAACAGAAAATCGATCATTCTGCATTCTAACAATAAATTTTTAAAAAATCTAACAATAAATAATAAAATAAAATTTCAACCACTGTGATACGACACATTCAAGGCGATTGTCCGTTATACTGACACATGTAATTTGCTGGTCTATTACAAGCGTAATCTGAAAGCGGTGAATATCCAGTATAAAATATTGCACAATTTTCTTCAGGTATAGCATTGTTTGGCTCCCCTAAACAACGAGAAAAAAAATGTATTTTAAACCAAACAAAACGAATTAGAAAACCAATTACAGAACATGATATAGAATAATTAATTTGCAGTGAAATGTAACTGTAATATACATAGTATTATACTCGTAAACTACACAATTATCAGTATTTTTTAATAAATACTATTAATTTCATTTTGAGTTGCTTAAAGATTATTTTAAAAAATAACTCAAGAAAAACGAACACTACAAGAAACCCGTATCTCTCTTACCTGGGCAAAAGAAATCTTTGTACAGAGAACGGTTTAGTACCGAACCATCATCATCAAACACGTAAGTCCCCTCGTTAGCCAGTTCATTCAGTCCGTACCACACAGTGTCGTAGTGTCCAGTTACGATGTCCACGAAAATACGGACATCGTCTTTGTTCTTTCCGGAATAGAGGTATCCCTTTTTACCTGCAGTAGAAACAAAAAGGTTATTTCAAAACACGAGTATATAAAACTAGTAATTTCAGAACCAGTAAAGTGATGATATTCCATGGGCTTTATAGATTAAGTATTTATTAAATTTCGTTGATTTGAGATACATTAGCACGAATCTACATTTTACCCACCGATATCTTATCGTTATCTTTATTTTTAAATGTTTTTAATGTTGCATATTAACAAGAATAGCTAAGGGATAATATTGTATGTGAAAAGAGTAAAGTCAAAATTATAATATTCAAACGTATCACTCCTTTTTTTCTCGTTCGTACCCAAGACATATGAAGCATATGAAGAAAACCCAGATTCGATTTATACAGGAGCGATTTTGTTTTTTAATTACCTTTTAGAATAACTTTTAGATTGGTTCAATTTTACGTTATAACTTCACTACAAGACGTTAAAATAATGGAACATATTCTGTTTTTAAAATTACTTTATCACATTACAAAATGGTAGGATTATGGATTATGGAGACAATCAGAAATTTTGATGATAAAATTTATACTTAGTCAAGAACCGTTCAAATATTGCAATGAGTCTAGAAATCAGAACTGGAAAACGTACTTTACGTATTTATTTTTTCTACACTACACTTAGTTTCCCAAATCCTAAATTGATTATATACTTAAGATTCGGCCAAAATATGATATTAGCAATACCACACCAGAAAATATGACAATGTGATGGAATTATTTTTACACCAGAGCAAAACTTAAAACTAATCACTACGCATATTCTTAAATTACAACTGAGCTACATATTTATGCATACAAGTTTACCATCTGATTATCGAGAATGTAAAAAAGTAAAGTTCCTTTTTCAAACCTGACAGTCTATAGGGCAAGTGAAGTAGAGTTCACTTCTTTCTGTGACCTCGGCATATGAAGAGACAGTGTGGTCAGCACTATGCCCAGCCGCCTTTACTTTCCCTAACGTAAGTTAAGTACCCATCAGAGTCGGGTGGACTCAGGGACGGTCTACTGACATGAACCCGGATTCAAACTGGAGACTTCCGGGTTAGCAGCCCAGTTCTCTACAGCTAGGCCACTCCGTCGAGAATGATTAAACTATTAACAGCACAATAGAAATGTACCAGCACATGCAGTTCTGGCGTCCGTGTATTGCAGTTTGTCTGTTGACATCCAAATGCAGACAGTGGTGTTCACGTTGGTGACCACATAGTACCCAAGATTGGCATCGCAGTATTTTCCAGTAGACATAATAACGCCATCAGTAGCCAAAGATGGAGCTTTTAATGGAATCACCCAAGTGCCTAAAATTTCAAACAAAAGGTCATGGTCATGGTCATGGTCATGGTCATGGTCATGGTCATGGTCATGGTAATGGTCATGGTCATGGTCATGGTCATGGTCATGGTCATGGTCATGGTCATGGTCATGGTCATGGTCATGGTCATGGTCATGGTCATGGTCATGGTCATGGTCATGGTCATGGTCATGGTCATGGTCATGGTCATGGTCATGGTCATGGTCATGGTCATGGTCATGGTCATGGTCATGGTCATGGTCATGGTCATGGTCATGGTCATGGTCATGGTCATGGTCATAGTCATGGTCGTGGTCGTGGTCGTGGTCAAGGTCACTGTCACGATCACGTTCACGTTCACGTTCACGGTCACGGTCACGGTCAGTGTAAGTGTCATGGTCAGGATCATGGTCATTCTCAATATATATATATATATATATATATATATATATATATATATATATATATATATATATATACACTCACCAAGTCTGCACAAATTGTCTTTGAAGCTGTAACACGAGCATAATTTCGACTGTTCTATACACCTGAGGCTACAAGCAAGGCTGGAGCTACATGAGTACGCTGTCACATTCAAGGGACTGATGGTGTACTGCGTGTTGATGAACTTTCTATATGACTTAGTTCTTATGACAGATTCGACTAGCCCTACTACTAGGAATGTGAGGTTGGAAAAAAAGATTATAGCTGTATATAAGATGGAGAATAAGCTGGCAGTTAAGTTCACTAAATATATTACAAAGAATGTTCAATCTTGAAGATAATTTATAAAAGTTTTTCAAATTTTTTATTATTTTTACCCCCCCCCCCCCTTACTCCCCCAGACACATTTTTGTTAAATCACCGTATGCACTCCAAATAGTCTTCTTTATATTTTAAAATGAATATTTACTAAAAATATTTAATGACCTATAAGATAGATAGGTATATCCTCGCAAGTTTCTTTTACAATTTAAAAAAAAAAGAACATGCATTTTTAATTGAACATTTAACAAGAACAGATGTTATATCAGTAAATAAGGGGCTATGTAGTAAGCAAGGTTCTCAATATTCATAATATTCTGACTCGGGACACGAATTAAACACAGCAGGATAGAAAACTAGTAAAAGTTCCCTTTTCCTTGTGAAAATTGAAGCATAGATAATCTTTTTCATTGACTTTGGTGGTCATGACCCGGATATACCGGCTCAGGAGATCGAGTCCCGTAAGTCAAGCAGATCTCGACGTAGTAAACCCCGGCTAACTGGCCTAGGATGCCTTGGTGTATGAAGGGATAGTGAGGTTAGTACTTTTCTTGTTTTATGTGACTTAGCTACCCATCAGAGCTGGGTGTATTCGATTAAGTTCGACTAACGCATACCCGGATTCGGAAGCGAAAATAAGAAAACAAATTTGAGTTTAGATTTTTACCTGTAGATAACAGTATAGCTGACATCACAGTCAGGAAAAATGTTGAAAACATTTCGAGGTTCTGACAGATTTATTAATGAAATTTAAAAAAAAACACATCATTTTAAGTCACCGCGTATTTTTGTAGTATTCTATTTCATCTTCTTTTTTACAAAATACACAACACATAATTTAATGTATACAATTTATTTATTAAAACTTGCATACGAGAAGTGTGTTTTAGTAAATAAAATTTTTAAAACTGTATTTAAACTATTTGAGAACTTACATGACAGAAGAAAACTCACTACTTCAGCAGCCAGTTTCGAACAACATAAACGTACGGTTAGGGACAGATTATAATTCTACCCCTACACTATCCCATATAATTAGCAGTCATGCTTAGTCGCGTTGTGGCACTTGAACCAACCATAGTTGAAGAACACGAAAAAACACGAAGGAAGATAGTTAATATTACATGTTGGGTTGACGTAATCTCCGTGATTTACATAAGCGATCATTAGAACAGCGGTTTCCCAAATTATTGCGTCGGTACCTTCTTTACAACCATAAAAGCCATTTCGTGTGTGCGTATGTGTTAATATATATATATATATATATATATATATATATATATATATATATATATATATATATATATATATATATATATATATATATATATATATATAGTGTAATTTTCTTCAAATTTCATCGTTTACTAGAGATCCGCACTTTGTAGTATAGAAACCCTTGGTATGTGATATTGATTTTGTTATGTAAATTTACCCCCAAGTAATGCGTAGGAAGCTGGAATTATGTTTTATACATGATTCTGCTAGCATTAGAAAACAACCGTGTACGTCGTTTTAACCTATAACGGTTAACATGTAAGTATTGATATTAATTTGCGTGCATTAGCAAAGAACATTTGTTATCCACGTAAAAATGTGTTAAATTCTGTTTAAAAAAAAATTATGTTAAAACTCTCGTGCCCTTAGGCAAAAATGAATCCAACATAAACTATTGTCATATTCTTAGAGAATCAACAAAGATTATACACGACAATTTAGTGAAGTAGGCCTATTACGAACCGATTAACTCTATAATTACTGTTAATCCAGAAAACAAGATAGGTCTAGATAGATATTTACATTGATTGTCAATAATCTGAAACAACAATAAAACGCAGCATATTGTATGCACAGGCCTAAAACATCCGCACTTATAAATACGGCATGTTAATTTCAATTGTTATTTTAAAAACTTATTCTAATCAACCACCTTCGAAGTGTATTACACAAGCTGATTAGTTTATTGTTTTAGAAACGACTAAACATTTGTTTGTCTCCATTTATCCTGTTTTGAAAATATTTATCAGCTCGACATAAAATAGTTAGGTCTAGTCATGGTCGAGTATTTCATTAATCATTTATCTTTCTGTAAAGTTTACAATGAACTTAATTTTAAACAATGTAACTTTTCTAAGAGTGATGTTGTTTCTGTAATACTCAAGTTTATTTTAGAAAAAAAGACAGTTGTAAAGATAGGATATGGGATAATGTACATCGACTACTTTCAAAAACTTGATCGAGTACAAAAATAAAGTTTAAAACATACTTCTGCAAGTAAAGTTTAACACTCCTACAAAGATGTGAGGTTTCAAATATAATAAAGCATATTGCAAAGAACACGATATACCAAAAAAAATTAAATTAATTTATAATTCATAACAGCTGTACTAAGCTGCGTTTTCGTTTCTTTTTATTATCAAAGTAATGTTCACTATTTACTATTTAAACCTTGTATGCGGATAGTATGTTTTCGTAAAGCAAATGTTTAAAACTGAGTTAAAAATATAAAAGAGCAATGCGCCGGTAAAAAATAAAACTAATCTTTTTTAATACAAGAGAGCAATTTTTTTTTACTCTACGGCTTTTAAAAGGTACATCCGCCTATGTATTTCCATTAAACAACATTGGTGGGAAAATCTTGGTAACTGAGACAACGGCGGCGATCTTGAAAAAAATAACTTATTGGTCGGATTTCCACCATACATAAACTATTATATTTTAAATCCCAATAAACAATAAATTCATAGCCTTCTACCATATTGTGGGGCACTCAGCTAAACATTTTAAGTGCAGATCTACAATCCAATTTATTATGAATTATCAAATTGTGAGTCCGTTAAAAACACTAAATTGAATGCCCCAAAATTCCTCAAAATGCCCCAGGGCTCAAGTCGGTATCACGTTCTTAAGTCCCTTGGTGCTTTTACCATAGGTGCTTTGACCAAAGGGGGTTGACCACAGCGGAGCTTTGACCATAGGGGGTTTGACCATAGGGGCTTTGTCCACAGCGGGGCTTTGACCACAGATGGGCTTTGACCACGGGGGGGGGGGATAATATATAGAATTTTAAATCGAAATTATAAACTGCTATTTCAATTTTAATTTATGATACAATTAATACCATTTTATACGTTTTCTGAATAGAAATTAACATGTACTAAAATAGTCAAGAACGATATTTTAGTCTCCACATAAAGACTGGTGCTAGACTTCATAGATTTATTTTAAATATAAATGGAACACAAATAATGCGACGGATAATAAGTTTCACAAATAAATAATGTAGATGTACTTGAAAATACATTGTATATATAAAGAATAAAAAACATGCCAACAGTATAGTCAAACAGGTAATACTTGTATGGTTAACTAAATGACAGATGAATTAACATACTATTACATCCTGCCCCAATTTAAAATATAATTACACAACTTTTAAAATTAATCCTTACAATATATGGACAAAGCGCTTATTATCAAACGCCAGCATTGGACAAACAACCTGTGATCAAAGACCCTATATGGATAAAACACCTGTGATTAATTAAAGACCCTATTTAAATAAAACACCTGTGATCAAATACCATATATGGATAAAACACCTGTGATCAAAGACCCTATATGGACAAAACACCTGTGGTCAAAGCCCGACACAGCGCTTGTGATAAAACACCCGTTGACAAACCACCTGCGATCAAAGACCTTCTGCTAAGAAAACACATGTGGTCAAACCCACTATGATCAAACCCCCTGTGGCAAAAACCCAGTTATGATCAAACCCCCCGCTGTAATCAAAACCCCTATGGTCAAAGCCCCTATGGTCAAAACCCCTCTGTGGTCAAAGCACCTGTGGTCAAAGGTCCGCGCACCATTGGGGTAAGGTATACGATTTGAAATGTGTGACTTCGTTCATGGTTAGCCCCAATAATGAATACATGCACAAGTAAAAACGAGAAATATCTGATGAATGGTGAATTGTTTATTATCAAATAGCCTACATTGGTTTTGCAAAATAAAAAATGCAGGTATTGTAATAACTAAAAAATACGTGTGTTAAGAAATGTATATTTGGACTTACGTTAAGGCCTGCACATTTCATAAATTTAAAATAATATAAATATTCAAATTTATGGATTATCCCCTTCAAAATATTGAGTCTTTTCTTCTTTTTTTGTTGCATATTTAAACAATCTTTCCAGAATAATGATTTAAAAAAACAATTCATATTATGTTAAAGGCTTTGACAAAGCTAAGCATAGCGTGTTGTTAGATATATTTAAAATAATCAATAGACGGCGTGAGCTAACGGTAGAAAGCTAGACTGCTAATCCGAATGTCTCAAGTTCGAATATGGGTCCACTCAGTTCAGATGGGTTCCCTACAGCGTCTGGACATAGTGCTGACCACATTATTCCCTTGCATGTAAAGGTCATTGAAAGACATAAACTCTACTTCATTTGACCCATGTGCCTTGAACACATATGGGGAAATATGATGATTAAAGTAATAAAGAGAAAAAAAATAATATCACAAGCGTGAAGTATACTTATACAAATCGTTAAAAAATTATTAAATTTGATTTTTAAGATGAATAAAATACATTATTCGCGTACTGAGCGAAAGAAGTAGTTACATCATTTAAGTTAAGCTCCGGTAAAAAAAAATAACATTTTTAATGCTCGTTAGGAAACCAGTATTTCTCTACAGCTTTTATAAGGTAGATCCGCATTGTGTTTCCATTAAAAAAAATGGATTGGAAAATCGTTGTATCTGTGTCCATTTTGAAAAATTAACCTATTCACAGGATTACCACTATTTATTAACCGGAAACTATTCTCTAAAACTTAAAAAAAAAAGGTTTCAAATTTTTTAATAATTCGGGATCAAAAGTCTTTATAGATTTAAAGATTACACTTGACTTATAATCGCATTACAATAATACAAGAATTCACTGTCCATTTTTGCATTTATTTGAGTTTCATTTGCTGATGTTTCTTTTTCAGAAACATTTTCTCTTCATTTATGATTACACTCAACTAACCACTGAATGTTAGATAATCAAACAAAAAATGTTTTATCTAAAATCTAATTACATCTCAATTGGTCTAAATAAATGTAACTGAAAAAAAAAACATAAATAAGATGCAATTTAAACCACTTCGATAGCACACATTCAAGGCGATTGTCCGTTGTACTGACACATGTAATATGTGGGTACACTACAAGAGAAATCAAGAAGCGGTGGGTATCCAGAATAAAACACTGCACAACTTTCATCAGCGCCAGCATTGTTTGGCTCCCCTAAACAATGGGGAAGAGAAACCAAACATAAGAAATAGAAAACCAATTACATAACATGATTGAAATAGTATTATTGTTCAGTCAAAAATAACCATAATATTCATGGTGTTAAACATGCAATCAACACAAGTATCAGCATTATAGTTAATATGCCGTTAGCCCTATAATTACTAACACCTTCAAAAGTATAAATGCTATTACTTTCATTATGGGTTGCATAAAATTATATTTAAAAAAAAATGTTTTACAATATGTCTATAATATGGAATATTTAAAAATTAATCACTGGAATTCTACAGCAAAAATAATAATAGTGCTACATTATTTAAATCAATGCCTATGTGTACCCAACACGGTACAATGCTGCATGTTATTACTTAAAGGCAGATCCTTCCCACGTCTAAATTAATTAATATCACACATAAATACACACACACATACATACTGGGACGGTTTGGGGAGGGGGCGGAGCAAACCGGTTGGCACGATTAAGAGAAGAGGGATCGTAGAATTTACTGTCCAAATAATACATTGTACAGTTATAAAAATATTATTAGCAGGCTTGAAACAAGGCCTACAGTGCAAAATGCTTTAAAAGAGGGTATGGTGGCGCTCTTATTTACTAAAAAAAGCGACACACGATAAAGTGACGACACTGCTCACACCCATTTCTATAACCCTTATTACAGTGGGTAGGGATGGAGTGGCCATGCGGTAGAGCGCTAGGCCGCTAACCCGATTTCAAGTCTAAATGACGTCCATGAGTCCACCTAGCTGTGTACCTAGCTCTTGATAGGGAAAGTAAAGGCGGCTGGGCAAAGTGCTGACCACACCTTCTCCTGCATATGCCGAGGTCAGAAACATATTGACTCTACTTCATCTAACCAATGGATCGCTAGGTCCAAAGAGGAGCTTTACATAGTTGGTAGCAGCAGGTTTTTGTGAACGTATCCTTATTCCATGCGACTATATTTACTTCACTCATTCTCATCGTACTCAGTAGCAAGCTTCAAGCCACTTCAGATACAATGTGATCATACCATTTAGGTGTATGGATCGTGAGAGTGTACACAGTCAATATGCCTCGCAACTACTGTTTAAATATTTAATGTTTTTTCAATCCCTAATCTCCGACCCCCCCCCCCCCTCTCCAGAAGAGATGGCTGGAAGAAACAGAAACTCTACATGTTTTTTCTGACTCAGGGAGGTGTAAAACGATTACAATACGTCCTCTATGCTTCGTATACGAGAAAGTAAAAATTAACACACACACAAAATATACAACACCCGTATCCCTCTTACCTGGGTAGATTAGTAGTCTTTATACAGACGACGGTTTGGTGCAGGATCGAACTCGAGACTTTCATTTTAACATTCATTTATCAAACTATCCGACCATGTCTTCTGATAAGCAAAAAAAAATTAAAAAACTAAAAAAATATACACAACACCCGTATCTCTCTTACCTGGGTAGAAGAAGTCTTTGTACTGAGAACGGTTTAGTATTGTAGCATCATCATCAAACACGTAAGTCCCCTCGTTGGCCAGTTCATTCAGTCCATACCACACAGTGTCGTAGTATCCAGTTACGATGTCCAGGAACATACGGAGATCGTCTTCGTTTTTGCCGGAATAGAGGTATCCCTTTTTACCTGGAGTAGAAACATAAAGGTAATTTCAAAACACGGTTAGATAGAACTGTGGGGATTTTAGAACAGAGTGAGGTAGTGATAGCCCATGGGTTTACTAAACTTTCGTTGATTTAAAACAAACTAGTAAGAACCTACATTATATATATATATATATATATATATATATATATATATATATATATATATATATATATATATATATATATATATATATATATGTATATCTTTATTTTCTAACCACAGACGGTGTTTTTTTTAATAGTGCATATTATTATCAAGAATATTTAAGTGAAAATATTGTAGGTGAAAAGAGTAAAGTGGTAAAAACTATAATATCCCAACTCATCATCTCTCTTTTTTTTCTCGTTCTTGCGCAAGACACATGGAATAGATGTAGTAAACCCTGATTCTGTTTAGACCAAAGCGTTTTTTTTTAATTAAAAAATGCAATTTTACATTAGTTCAATTTTACGTTACGATTGCATTACATGACCTTGTAATTGTCATACACGTTTTGTTTTTTTAAATGAGTGTGTGCAATTTTTTTTTATTGTAGGATTCTGGAGAGAAATTATAGACAGATAGATAATGAAATAAGCAAAGAATTACTTCAGCATTTGAAATACATTTTGGGCTCAGAATTGCAAACCAAAATCACCCAAACGATGCTATTAGCAACGACATAAAGAAATACATAGCAGTATCATAGCATTGGTGGTTATCTATCGCTTTAGCGTAATCAATTCGGTCGTCACTAGTAATGTAGGGATAAGGTAACTAATAAATATGGCTTAAATATGAATATATTTTTGCATATTCTACTAAAATACTAAAGATAATGGAATATTAAACAACATGTAAGGGTTAAATCAATAAAAATGTCATGAAATTAAGGTTTAACAACGATGTTCCAGATACTAAATTTGCTATTAAAAACAGCGGCCATCTTAAGAAAATATTATTTTGAGTCATTTCCCTTTCATTTCTATTTGTATGGAAATGTATTGCTGTTTGCTTTTAAATACGTTTGTCTTGTGTTTAAATACAAAGCATGCGTTTTTTAAAATTCTGCCCTTTAAACAATTTAATTGCCTGACAATAAACATCAGTTCTAAAATTATTATTATGAGATGCAATTTTTATGCATTAAGAAACTCCCTATTTTTATAGAGCTACCACTACATATCTAATGTTTATTTAAATATTAGTTTGAGTTAATCGTTATTGCTTGTGTTATTGTTTGTTTGCTATTTTCATTTCATATTTTCATGCTTTTTTCCCTTTAATTAGTGATTTAATCATAAATGACGTCACGTTTTTTTTACCTATCTTCACCTTAACCCCCCCCCCCTCCCCCCACTTTCGCCGTCACGAAATAGTCGTATTGTCGAAAATTACCTTTTTGCCCTGCCTGTTAAAAAGTCAAGCCATAATTCAAACGAAAAAGAATTTTTTCAGCATTTTTGTATTAGGCGAAATACTTAACGTTTCACGTTTCTTACCCCTCCCCCTTCCCACGTGAAACGTCGTCTGAAAATCAGTTACTCCATCCCTTAAGTGCGTAATGTCATTTATGGTAGATGTCAAGTCCTAACCTCCAATACACATTTTGAACAACCTTTGTTGTCAAAATGTTGATACCAAATACCCAAAATGAGTTATATGGGGTTGTCCATAAACGATGTCACATATGCTATTCTAATTTGACGTCAAGTTACGCAGGACTGCAATTTACGACCTATACTGAAGGGGTGATCGGGGGGGGGGGATGAGTGACGTCAATTATGGAAGACTTCTATAAAGCTGTGCTCAATGAAAATGAGGAACATAAAGCGTTCATTTTCATGCATGCCTTTGCTCATAACGAATGATCATAACTATTGCAAGCCTGTTGTCCTAAGCGGTGTTAAACAACCTCAGCACACCATCCCCGCCAAAAAGGGCCTGCCACTAAATGCCTACCGATAAAAATAGGCCGCACTACATTGACTCCAAATGAAATAACTTCTGACAATAAGGCTCAAACCAACTAGCTCCTGGCAACTTTATTCAACAAGAATCCAAGACAATAATTGGCTTGCAGGTAAAATTGGACAAAACAGCGTTTCGCGACATGGGGCATAACAAAAGATCAAACATTAATACGACAGCAGCTAATGTAAAAAGCCAGAGCTTAGTATAGGCTTGAGTTTTAATATAGAAATAGTGTTAGCAGTGGACGGTGCATTAGGAATACGGCAGTCGGCTAAACGCCCGAGTCCGACGATGTCTGAACATCAAGTTTGTCTTTTATGAAGTGCGGAGCACCTTTAAGAGCTGAGCTTGGGGAGGGGGGGGGGTCCTTATTGACACCACCACTATCGCCGCTTATGTCTACATATCAATCACAAGTTTTGTGTGGAGCTTAATGGACAGACGAAGTGTATAGGTGGGACTGAGAGCCTAAATGTATTTACGGAAGCCGCTGTGTCACGGGCATTTTAAAGCCGAACGTCTCAGGGCAGCAGGTTGCAGAAATTAAAAGCACGTGAATTTGTATAGTAGAGAGAGCACCGCATGCCACTGTAATAAATTAAACACAAATATAATTTACCGAACTAAAGTCAGGCTAAAAGTCTGTAAAGTCTCAACTCCATAGTGCCTGTTTTAATTTTTTTTAATTACTCGGTATCTCTTTCTTTAACATTAGCCTAATGACAAATGACGTCACGCGCGCCGAGAACTTGGTGACGTTGTGCTAAGTGGAGGATGAAACGGCGGGGTTGAGAAAAATGACGTATTTCTTTTTTTTAAACAGACGAATAAGTGATAGATTCTAATTCTCCTACGAACTATAGGTTGATCTAGTTTTTTTTCTAGAGGGAGATATCACTATATAGTGGGTGTTTTTTTGTTTTTGTAATAATGGATGGTGGGGA